TCCTAGGTAAGATGCATTGCTTTGGATTGGTCTATTCTCCCTGTATGTTGATATTAGTATCCATGGATACCAGGCTGCATTTGAACCTTTCCAGGAAAGGTGGTTCGAATGGAACCATGTACAATTTACACATTTCTTCTTGGTGTTTCTCATGCTTATTTTGAACTTCAATTTGTTACTTAGCAGCTTTGCATCATGTTTTGCAGGGTTGAAGCAGTGTGATCATAGGATAGTTGTATATGTTTTCTTGCTGGATTTCCTTGTTAACACTGACACTAGACAAGAAGGCAGATGACATTTGTTCAAAGTTTAGTGGAGAAGAAAAGAGCTCTCTTTGAGCCTCAAATTGCCCCAGATTTGACACCAGTTACTGTATAATTATCTGCACTTCATCTCATATACTTGCATCAGTTTTGAGTTGGTGAGCTTTTATTTATTGTGTTTTAAACTTGAGGTAGAGCACTTTCCCTTTGTGTGCTGTCTTTTTAATGGGTATAGTTCAGCATTGTTTTCTTTGCTTGGTGTACCATCAACCGGAGAGGCAAGCTATTTATTACCTTCTTGTCTCATACTTGCGGCAGAACCCTATGTTAAGCCCTTAAACTTTATCTTTTCTTTTCATATGAGCCCCTGAACTAATTTTTAACCTTTTGAGTCCCTAATAAGTTGATAACGATTTTACGCTAACCGGCCGGAGGAGAAGGCAGGAGAACAAGTATTCGATTAAAATTTTCATTTGTTTTTGTTTCATATCTTTTAGACCAACAATTTACAATTTCGCATTTGTGTTTTTCAATCCAAACTACACAGAGTGCAATCTAAGCTATAAATTAATCAAAACATCTTTAATGAGACTTTTTCACATCTTAACCTAAGTGATTTTGATGCCTAAACTATAATTTTATTGTTAGAAGTACAGTCAAGACTGAAACATGTTAGTTCGGGAGTAACTAATTTAGCGAGGCAGCCTATGATAGAGCTGCAATGTGCAGGTCAGCGAGAGGAAAGCTAAAAAACAAGATAGCAGAAAAACTGATAAATGAACCACCTTAAGTATATCGTATAATTCATCGTTCTGATTTACCACCTTATCTACAGCAGCATAGAATCGAAAGACCGGTATAGACCATTTGAACTGGTAACAGATGTGCAGTCAATTTCAAAAAGACTGCATTAACCAAAGCACCTAAAACACAAACTGCTTTACCAGATCTCATCTTAACGGTTGTCACAGCTATCAGCTTCTGGAAGTCTGGAACTTCTCACAGTCTGTTGAACCATTCTTCACAAAGTCTCTGGCCAGAAGTTTCATTACCTTAGCCAATGAAGATCTAAATCCATACGCGCTACCCTTTCCAGTTTTATTAACATCTGCAACGCCATTTTTAACCACGACAGACCCTGGCAAAGCACCATTGGCATATGCTGAACAAGCAACGAGAATATCATGTGCCTGGCTGCGGAAATGACCAACAACAAAGTCTTGAAAATGCTGCAAAAGTTCCAAATTAAGTAGATCATAAGGTTCCTTTATAGTGCAACAAAGATGAAAAAAATATAATAATTTACGGATGAAAATTCATGTCCAATGTGTACATATTTTTTGTTTTGGCCTTAGTACATAGGTTTATTCATCTCTTATTGTAACTAATCCACCAAGCCAAGGGATGGAAGATGAACTACATTGATACATAAGATTTGGGCTAATCAAACCGAAATCACAAGGCAAGAATCAAAAAGATTACTAAGATTGATTGAAGGTAATATGGAAATTGTACCTCAGGGGGTCTTCTTAGTGTATAAATCATAGTCTTCAGTGATAGAATAAACACCTCCTCATTATAATGGTTGGATTTCTTCTCACCCTCAGCACCAGGATATGAAGAGTCAAACCCCGGTTCATTAAAGAAGGGTTTTGCATTCAGAATTAGAGCTTGTATAGAAACTAAGACTTGCAGCATTGTTGATTGCCCTGGAACCCACATCTCAGTATTATTACCATGCCAGGTGCCCAAAAGACTCAGGCATACTTTACCACAATTGTATAGATTTGGATTCAATCGAAGCCCACCAGAATAGTAATAAACCATCTGATAAAAGAAATTTGAAATTACATTAAAGACATTGGAATATATTAATTAGACTGAAAAAAGGGAAATAAAAGGAAGAACCTTACAGGTGGCTCGTTAGGATATTTCGGCGGGAAGAGACAATCAAATACAAAAAGACCATCATGGTAGGGAGTGCCAGAAGGCCCTATAATGATAGCTCTCAAGAGGTCCATCCTTGATTCACAAACCCTCACAAATATTGTATCTGTAAAAGTGAAGAGAAACAGATCAAACAAACCAAAATTTTTTTTAAAAAAATTAAAAATTTGATAAATGGTGAAATGTAGCCTCATTCTTTCATTTTTTATTTTTATTTTTTGAAAATTAGTGTAGAAGAAATTTGGACATGTAACCTCCTTTTTGGAGGAAGTGTGACTACTAATCTATGCCTTAGCACCATTAATTTTTATAATTTCTAATATCAGAAAATACATCGCAACAGAGAAACAGGATGACAGGATTAACCTGACAAATCAAAATCCATTCTGAGACAGTGAGACTGGTTCTCTTAATGTTAAAAAGAATGCTATTCAGTAGCGGTTTGGCAAAGCTACAGCTTACTAGCTCTTTTCCTATTTGATTTAATATAAGGTTTATATTTAATTTAAAATCAATCGATAATAGGTGTATTAGTTTTTCTTGTGTTTAATTTATAAGCTTTTTTTATTTTTTTTTATCGATACGAGATTTTACCACTTAATATAACAACTCCTCTGTATTCTCCTTAAATTAGATATAGTTTTAAAAAAATTTTAAAAATTTTTAAGGTATATTTGGTTTGAGAGGAGTTAAGAAAGGGTTAAGAAGAGAGTTAAAATTTTTAATTAATTAAACTAAAATATTGACTAATTTTGTAATTTAATTAATTAGGTAAAATATCACTTTCTTTTTTCTTTTTTCTTTTTTTTTGTTCAAAACAAATATACTCTTAGTAATTTCAAAACAAATGAATAAAGTAAATTAAGGTATGAATGTGTCATTAAAAAGATGTCTCTATTTTGGAGTTTGAATCATATAAAATTCTAAAATAGTAACCATTAAATTAGCTACCTCCTATTATTAAAAGATTTATTTTTATTTAATAGTTAATAATAAATATTACGCATTTTAATACAATTAGTACCATACAACATTTTTTTACTTTAGAAATGCCTAAAAAAACTTAAAATTTGTTTCGAGCAGTGGAGAGAAGGGATAGGATAGGATGATAAGTGGGAAGGTATACATGTGGTTGAGGGTATAGTCACCGTTAATTTTGTTAAATCTACTAATTTTATTTATAATTTTATTAATTTATAATTTTTTAATTAAT